TTATAGAGTTTTTTTCATAGCATTGTTTATGAATGTCCATTCATAAGCATGTCCAAATATATTATGGGATATACAAATGTGATGTTCTATATACTATGATGAAAAAGAATGACACTATGAACTAGAAGGAAATGTTCTCTAGAAAATAGTAAATGAAAAAACAACATCAAGACTGTATAGTGTGCTACCTTTTACTTTAAAAATACAGTGAACTTGTCTAAATTCAAATATATGCTTGTATAATGTCACTTATTTCTGAAATGTAATAATCCCATGACAGTGTTTGCTCTTAGAAAGGAAAGTTTGGGGACTGTAATTAATTTGGGAAACTTGATTTTTCGCTTGTACTTTAGTATTGTTTGAATTTATATTAGGTATATATATGTTCCTTTTTTAGTAAGAACTAATTTTAAGAAATACTATTATGTAATATTGCCCTTCCTTTAAAATTGAACCTCAGGTCTGGAATTTTTGTGGAAGGTTCAGTAGCAGTTTCCAGTTTTTTCTTTTACTACTATTATGTAGTCTTTTATACTCAACTTCTTTTCTGTAAAGTTCAAAAACTTGGTTGATTTCTTATACTGATTTCCATATAATGTGCCTTAATTTTGTAATAAAGCCTCATTCTACTCATTTCTATGGTTTTCAACATTATGTGCCTGTGTTAATCTAATTTATAAAAACATTGTCATTCTATATTCCCAAGTAGGATAAGCAGTTCACCTGCTACTTCCTCTCAGGTATAATTGCCTGAGTAATACCATATCAACCTTGAAAACTAGAGATAAAAAAATTTCAGCCTCAATTACCTTCCCTTCCCTTCTATTACAGAGTAGCCATAGCGCTAGAGACTAGTGAGGTGTAATCTATTCAACACTGGTCATTACCATGGTTACAACCAGTACTTATTTTCTGGTTGTCTTATTTTTGGGAAACACTGTTTCTTCTTAAGACGTTTCTACATAACTTGGGTAATAGTTTTTATTTTTCAATTTAGCTATATAGATTACATATTGACCCACACCTCCTAGTATCTTACTCCTTCCTCTTTGTAATATTTTTTAACAAGCCACCATTTAGACACTTTTTCTTTTTTCTTTCTGTCTTTTTTTTTTTTTTTTTTTTCTTTTTGTACCAGGGATTGAACTTAGGATCTTGTACTTGCTGGGCAGGTATTTATGTAACTGAACTATCTCCCCAACCTTAGATTCTTGTTTTAATTATAAGATATATTTTCCATGGACAGTAGAGATTCTTTAAAAGCAAAACAAATCTGCTCTATCATAAATTAATTCTTAATCTCAAAAATATATCCTCTTTTATAGCATATCTATTTTAATAATTCCAGTATCAATTTGCTTTGCTGTGGTTTTTGTCCTCTGAACTGTAAATCAATAAAAAATATTAAGCCAAAATCCTTATTTGATGCTTGAAATAAACCACTATCACTTATTATTTGTAAGAAAACTTGCACAGATCAATGCATTTAACATCATGAGATGTTGCTCCTACTGAGAATGATCAGTTACTAAGGTGCATTAAAAGAAACAGTTTATTAGAGTTACTATAGACACGTTAGTTTCAAAACAGTATTGGGACAGGCCATTTTCTTGGGACATAAAGTTATCTTTGTTCTAATCAGTTTTTAATAGTGATTTCACTTATGTGATAGTAGCTTATTTTTATAAATTCTCTGATAGCAAAGATGCCCTTTTAAAAAAAAAAATTTAGTTTGGGCAAATGTTTTAGTTACTGAGGCTTTATGGGGACAGCTGGATGCAAGCCATAGATACTGCTTTGGCAGGGGCTTGAACAGAACAGTATTACTTAGGATACAAAATTAGTACACAAAAATCAGTAGATTCATGTATACCAATAATGAAATCACCAAGCAAGAAATTAGAAAAAGTTTGAGTCACAACTTTAGATATCTAGAAATTAACCTAACCAACAAGATAAAAGAGCTCTATCATGAGAACTAAATAAAATTTGAAGAGGTCATAAAATGGAAAAGCAACCCATGTTCTTCAATCAGTGAAATCAATACTGTTTAAAAAACCTTAATTACCAAAAGAGATCTATATACAATCCCTATTAAAATACCAACAATATTTTTCACAGAGCTAGAAAAAAAATTTTTTTGTTAATTCCCATAGAACCAGAAGAGATTCAGGATAGTCAAAACAATCCTAAGCAAAAAGAACAAAGTAGGCATAATCACAATGCTAGATTTCAAGTTAGACTACAAAGCTATAGTAACAAGAGCAGCATGGTACTACCAGAAAAATAGACTTGTAAAACAATGTGGTAGAACAGAAGATGGAGGCAAAAACCCTCATGCACCTTCAGTCATCTGATTTTTGACAAAGGATACAGAAATGTACAATGGAGGGCCTGGGGGCGATAGCTTGGTGGTCTAAGCACCTTCCTGGCAAGCACAAGGACTCAGGTTTGATCCCTAGTACTTCATGCTATGCTGGTCAGGGGTATGGTAACACACACCTGTAATCCCAGCACTGGGGAGGCCAAGACAGGAGGATCAGTAAGAGTCCAAGCTGCATAGCGAGACCCAGTACCAAACAAATAAATTATATATGTGAGAAAAGATAGCTTCTTTAAGAAATGGTGCTAGACAAACTGGTTATCCATTTGCAGATTTAAACTATATCACCCTGTACTACTATCAAATTAAAATAGATCAAAAATCTGTATATAAAAACAAACGGTTAAACTGCTAGAAAATAACAAAACTACTTGCAACAGTCATAGGGAAATGCAAGTCAAAACAACTTCCAGATTTCATCTTGCCTCAGCCAGAAGAACTATCATAAAGAATGCAGATATGTTGGCAAGGATGTGGGAAGAAAGGAACCTTTCTGCATTGTTGATGAGAATATTAACTTGGACAAACACTAAGGAAATCAGTGTGGAGATTCTTTTGTGTGGGGGGTAACTGGGGATTGAACTCTGGACCTTGCACTTGCCAAGCAGGTGCTTATTGCACTGAGCTATATCCCTGGTCCCCAAGTGTGGAGGTTCTTAAAAAACCTATAATTAGAATTTTCATTCGATTTGCCTATACCTCTACTAGATCTAAAAAGAATTAAAAGACATCATATTATCATGATATATTCATGTCCATGTTTATAGCAGCACAATTTATAATAGCTTAGGTCTGGAAACAGCCTAGATACCGGTCACCAGAGGAGTGGATAAAGAAAATGTGGTATATACACACAATGGAACATTTTCGGCCATAAGAAGAATGAAATCATGTCATTTGCAGGAAAATGAATGGAAATTGAAAGACTATGATGCTAAGTGAAATAAGTCAGACACAGAAAGTTAAATATTGTATGGATGCTCTTGCATAAAGAACCTAAAATACAGTACTGAAATAAAGGAGAGGTAGTCAGGAACAGGACGACAGATGTTTGGAGGTAAGAAGGGAAAACAGGCAGAGGGAAGCTGGAGATGATACAGAGGTGGGAGGAGGTAAGGGAGAAGCAGATGCAGAAATAAAAAATGATGAAGATAAGTTAGTAGCAGTCCCCTGCCCCATTAACATCGCCACATTGAGGACCAAGTCTCCAACACAGGAACCTATGGGGGACAAACTCGATCCAGATCAGAACAAAAATAAAGATCTTTATGAAAAATAGTAGAACATAATTATTTTTTGGGACTATTTTGCCTTCACTTATCTTTTCTCATGAATAAAGAGAAATTCCAAATAATAAAAAACATAAGAGTAATTATCATCTTAGTAATTTTGTCTCAGACATGTCCTAGAAGTAGCTGAGGCCCTGAAAAAGTAACTTAAAATGGCTAGATGGGCTAAGGAGTAAGGCTGTATGTGGCCACTGTATTGGACAGGGAGTGGCAACAAGCCTCTCCTATACTAGGAGAGAAAGAAGGCATCTCCATCAGATTATGTATCGGGGGGGTGGGTTACATGGGCTACAGAGCTTCTGATACTGTAAGTTGACCTGTGGTGAGTTTTCTGAGTGTATAATTGAATTTGTTTTGTTATTAAAAGTATGTTTTTGAAAGTAGCAGAGTTTTCTATCAGTTATCCTGGAAACTAAGTATCTTAATTTGTAGGCAGCCTGAAAATAGATTAATACTTTTAATTTATGGAATGATGAGTCAATGTTAATACTTGGAGAAAGTGTTAAAAGTAAACTTAAAAACTTACGATAAAGGAAAATAAGATCTACATGAACTGCAAATAATTGGAAGAAAAGAAAGCATAGACTTCGGAGTCTTTGGCTGTTCTCATTTATCTTTAATAAATGGACCATTACTTCAAAAATGGTTGGCACTTTTTTTTTTTTGGCCTGTTCTGACTCTGTTATCTGTATTCATGTGATATAATTGCATCCCAAAGTAGCTTCTACCACAAGTTATTTATTTCAGTGTCTTTAGTTACCTGAAGACATAAAAGATATTAATTGGAATTTACTTTCATGTTTAAAATATGTGCCACCAGTGGGGCTGGTGAGATAGCTCAGTGGTCTGAAGTGCTTGCTTAGACATCCATAGGGACTGCAGTTCGATCCCTGGCACCACATGCTGTGCTAGCCCCATTCCCAGGGCAGGCTAAGTGAGCTACAAAAAAAGTAAACTATGTGCTACCAAGTATTTTAGAAGGAAAATGTTAATAATAAGGCACATAAGTATACCACAACAGAGGCAGATTATCAGTCATTTCTACCCTAAAGCTGAAAGTTATCTTTTAGCAGTTTATTGAGTAATAAATTGGCTAAAATGTACCAAAAGAAAAATAGATTAGTTCTATAAACTTTGAGATTGCTCTGAGACAGAAATTTGTTTTAAAATAGTGGCCAGTTTCATTAACATTTCAAGTGAGGAATATTTGTTCTTATATTCTAATCCATTGTCATATATTTTAGTGAGCCAAGGGCTTAATTTTCTGCCCTTCTAATTCTAGGAACAGAGAAGTAGAAGAAAATCTACATTTATTGTTTTTTGACTTTTTAACTCTATTTCCTTAACAGTTGACATACTCTTTCTTCTAAAAATTGCCATTATTTTGCATAGTGATGTTTCTAATATTTGTATCTCTTTGATCAAAGATAGTTATTGTTCATATTTTCATTTTTGTCTGTTTCATAATTGGAATCATAGGAAGCTTAGATAAATATTTGGCATTATGAGTGATAACAGTAAAGTTTCCTTTAAGGTTTACATTTAAAGACTACTTTTTATTTATTCTTTTTGTCAGTGCAAAGCAGCTGGTCCGAGGAGAACCCAATGTTTCCTATATCTGTTCTCGGTACTATAGGGCACCAGAGTTGATCTTTGGAGCCACTGATTATACCTCTAGTATAGGTAAGTACCAAATCTGAATATAATGTTTATCACTGCTGATTGCACCTTGATTTTAGTAATTTGTTCTTAGTTATCTGTACTTTCACTGCCATTAAATGAAGGATATATGCCCTATAGTGTTGTAAAAAAATTCTGTAGGTTTTTTTGTTCTTGTTGTTGTTTTCTTTCTGGCTTTTGTTTGTTTTTAAATTTCCACCTTTAGAATTTTGGGTATCCTTGCCAGTCTATTTGTAGGTGTTTGGACTACTAGAATTATAAAACTGTTCTTTTATGATTGGTTAATACATTTGTTTTTACCTTAAAACTTCAAATAAATCCTAGCTAGTGCATCTTTTGTTTACTGACTTTAAAAAAATACTTTTGAGATATTTATTTCTGAATCTGATTGCCAGAAAATTTGTACATTAGAAATGTTATTTCATTAAATTATTAATGATAGTGATAGTGAAACCATATTATTGAAATCTTGCCATGTAATCTGTATTGTAAAACAGATTAGATCTTTCCTAGCTCACCGGAGATGCTTAGTGGTAGAAGGAGTTGTTGTGGTCTTCCTTGACTGTCATTTCTTTACCATTTTAGTTTTCTGGTTAGGAGTAAACAGAAAGACCATGCTAGAAGAATAGAAAGCTAAGAAACAAAGTTACATACTGTTTCTGAAAAGAATTCCTTAGTTCAGAAATAAAAACAAAGGTATACAGTTACCAAACACATAAATCAAAAACTCCAGTAGCTAAATACTTTAACCAAAAACAGTTTTGGCCAGTTTTTTTGTTTTTGTGATAAAAATAGAAAATTGTCTGATATGAACAGACACCTCTTAAACAGACACATATATATTACTTTTTATTTTGTCCTAGAGCAGTGTGCCAAAGCACATAATGTGCCAAAGTAACATCAGTGCAGTTTACCCAGTAAAAAGGCATATTACTGTGAAAATAGGTTTAACCTGTAGGCTCTCAAAAAATGTCCAGAGAATCTAGGTTGCTGCAAACTGCACTTTTGATACATAGAGCACAAGAGAAGAGCACATTATAATTGCATGTGTATGCAGCACTAATTCTTATCATGTCTGCATTGTATGGTATACATTAATGTGAGAAATGGTACAGAGAATACTTCCCTGGGATTGACCCAGGTTTGATTTCCATATTTACTGCTACTTAACTGAGTTATAAAATAGAAATTAATAGCCTTGCCTTTCTTAGTGCCTGTGAGGAATAAAGTATTAGTAAAAGTATTATAAAAATGTAAGATGATATTCTTTAGTAATATGTTAACTTAAGATTTCCCAAGAAGAAATTTCAGCCTATGTCCTTGGGAATATCATTGCTTTATATTGTATTTAAATATTAGGTATTATCTACAGACAGGATATTAGGCTGAATTGTATTAGGATCATTAAAATAAAGGCAGTTTAATTCATCAAAAAAGTTGTGACCCATATCATCGGAAACATTAAGGCATGTTTATAGAAATTTAAGGTCCTTTGAGTCCTAACCAGGCTAGATTTGATCTCTCTTTAGATCTTTAATGCTTCCCACTTAATACTCTTTAAGATTTCTAAATGTGGGGGTACGGAGTTATTTGAGAGTATACAAATATATGAACATTCTTAAAATGTTTTTAGTTAACGATGTTTGAAAGAACCACATTCTAGATTATTGTCGTTTGGATATAATCATAGTTAAAAGTCAGTGATTCTGATTATATTTTCTTACTGAGAAATACCATAATGAAAATAAAAGACTTCTTTAGGGCAGGGGATTAAACTAGGACTCTTGAAGTTTTTTGTTTTTTCCTGAGAAGTGAGATAGTTATTAAAAATGATGATACCCGATTAGAGATTAAGAATAAGTTTCAGGTCTAGTGCTGTGCTACTCAGTTTACCTTAGGAAAGTGATTTAACTTTATCCTTCTGTAATTTCTTGGTTTGTGAAGTATTTTAAACTAGATGGTCTTGGAACAGAATTTTATTTTGCTTTAAACTCCAAGTAACTAGGGCCGGCCAAATAGCTCAGCAGATTAAAGTGCCTGTTTAGGCAGACCCAACAGCCGGGGTTCGAGCCCTGCCCCCAGGATGCCCTGAGATGGCAGTTGAGACTGGGCTTGGTGGTGCACACCTGTAATCCCAGCTCTCTGGGAGGCTGAACACAGGTGGGTCACTATGAGTCCCATCTAGTAGTGAGATCCTGTAGACCCTTACTAAAAATAAATAAACTCCAAGTAACTAAAGTTCATTGGGCCACAGCATTACTCTGTTGGTAAACCTTTTTAGATGAAGTTTTATTCTGTTTGGAGACCTTATCATTTTGTCTTTTGAAATCCTTCATCTTATCTTTTGTCTTATAAAACCTATTATTTTGTCTTACGAAATCAAAATGGAATTTGGTATCTCCCAGAAGGTGAATAAGAAATAACCCTTTTTAAAGTAATTTGACTGATTTAGCTTGAATTGAAGGGCAGTTAATAGAATTATAACCTAAGTCTTTTGATTGGTAATCTTCTGTAACTGCTAGCTAATAGTATTTCTTGATATTTTACTCCTTGTCTTGCTTATTTATAGCTGAAAGGTAAATACGAAGTGGAGCATTTCCCCATTGGTGTTTTCCTGTGAAGGCAGTGTAATTATTCCTTACAATTTTTCTAGTGCTGGGGAGATAGCTCAGCAGTGTAATACGCACCTGCATAGTAAGCACAAGGACCCAGATTCAATCCGGAACTGCATGCTGTGCCAGTCCCACACCTTGCAGACCACTGAAACCAGGTGTGGTGGTGCATGCCTGTAATACCAGCACTGGGGAGGGTGAGACTGGAGGATCACTGAGTCTGAGCTGCATAGTGAGACCATACATACATACATACATACATACATACATACATACATGCATACCTAAATGATTTTTAAAAATACTTTTTCCAACTTTGTCTTCAGAGATGACTTGTTCTATATTAAAATGGAAAGAAGTAGATGCATAATACCTTCTAATTAGCTAGGTGTGGGGATTTTTTAAACTTGGATTAAAACATTTAGAGAGAAAATACATTTTTCCACTTGTCTATAAGAGTAGTATTGCTTTTGGCTTTAAATAAAGAGCCTCTAATAGGCTTTTATATTTGCCTCACTAGCAATTTTCTTAATATGTCAAGTATTCTCTTGGTCTGAGTTGCAGAATAAATGTCTACATGGTTATCATTACTCAGAGAAAAAAATCAGATTGAATTTCTTAACTGACATATTCATATTAGCCTTTTTCTTTAATACATCTAACATTTAAAAATGCATTGGGAAAATTTTACTGTATTTTGTTTTTCAGACAGGATCTTTAAATTGCCTAAGCCAGTGGTGGCAAACCTATGGCAAACATGCTACAGTGGACACACAGAACTCTCTTTATTGGCATGCAAGCCTTGTTGCCCCAGCATGCCTAAAACAAACTTTAACCTTTCCATAAAAAGCTGCTTATATTATTGAAAGCTTTGTTATTGTGTTTGCTTTTAAGTCAGAAGATGTTAACGTGTGAGTTATTTTTGCTAAGTTAAAACTTTAGTGTTCGGGCTTAATTACAGTGTTGGCACTTTGAGATAATAAGTAGGTTTTGGATTGCAGTTTGCGCATTTTGTCTCTAAAAAGTTCACCGTTACAGGCCTAGGTTAATCTTGCATTTGAAATCCTCTTGCCTCAGCTTCAGTAGTAGATGGGAGTATGTATCACCACCATGCCTGAGTATTGGGGAGATTTTACTTTTTACTTTTCCTGTTTTGGATTGTATAATCTTTTGCTTCTGATATTTAATATGTGATTAAAGTAAAAGTATAAAATATATACATTTTTCAATGTAATTGCAGAGTATTAATAAGCCATTTTTTTTTTTTTTTTTTTTTTTAGATGTGTGGTCTGCAGGCTGTGTGTTGGCTGAGCTGTTGCTAGGACAGCCGATATTTCCAGGAGACAGTGGTGTGGATCAATTAGTAGAAATTATCAAGGTAAGAAAGTTGAATTAGGATTTTTGAACTAAGTGTAATTTTGCGGGACTGGGGAGATGGCTCAGTGGAATAAGTGCTTCCCTGGCAAGCGCAAGGGCTTGAATTCAATCACCTGGTTCTGCCAAAAAAATAAATAAGTAAAAATTAAAAAATAAATAATTTTGCTGCTATTTTGGTATTACAACACATGCAAAAAATTTTAAAAATGAGTAAAGTGATCTAGAAAGGTAAAAGGACCCAACAACCTTTGGTTTCTAGGTCATATTTCTCTTATTTTTGCTTTTTTGTTTCTGGAAAAACTACTTCAGATATGATGCAAGAAAGGGTTTATCCATTATTCAACACGCTTAAAAATTAAAAATAGAATTAGACTATAAGATCACTAAAGTGTATGTAAGTTGGATAAAAGCAGAAATTGTACTTGTTTTGTTCACCTACTCTCTGCTAATAATCTGGAATACATGTATGAGATTTGTATTTATCGAATATAATGTTGACAATGAAAGAATAAGTGTTTATATGGTAGACGACTGATAAGAGCAGACTTTGACTTAACAGATTTAGTACAATTTTGTTTATTGGTTCTGTGAACATCATTGTTAACCACAGCAGATTCAAAATATTAGAATTAATGTTTTCACTTTTAGCAATAGTAAAGCAGAGGGTTTTTTTTAGTTTAAATGTTATTTCAGGTTAGGGAGGTACTTCTGCAGTCAAATTGCCTGCCTGGCAAGCACAACCCAAGGCATTGCTGTGCAGGCCACCAAAACCAGGCATATATATAACCATAATGCTGAGGAGGCTGAGACAGGAAGATCATTACGGTTCTGAGCTGCATAGTGAGATCCTGTACCAAATAAATGAAATTTTAAAAAATTAAATGCTGTTATTTAAAGGTTTTTAATGTTCAAGATCTTGAAAGAAGGCCTTCATAGCGGTTTAAAAATCTATCTTCTACTGCAAGCAGGTGCAGGGGTTGGGGGTTCGATCCCCCATGCTGGCCCTGCCCCGGAGGCTCACAGAGAAGGCAATTGAGACTGGGTGTGGTGAGGTAAACCTGTAATCCCAGCTCTTGGGAGGCTGTAAACAGGAGGATCACTACAAGTCTGATCTAGTAGTGAGACCCTGAATACCCTGTAGACCCTTCCCTAAAATACAAAATAAATAAATACATACGTACATAAAAAATCTATCTTCTAGACTTAATCACTAGATTGGTTTCCTAGGTTTGAGTTTAGGAAAAATCCCAAAGCAACACTACTGGGATTTTTTGGATCTTTGTGATTTCTCAGAATTTTCTTAGATTTGTAAACTTGAAAATCTTCTAGGGGTTGTGAGTTCTGACCTCCATCTAACAAAAGAGACTTTCATTATATTGCTGACAGGTGGGTTTCCAGTGTTTTGCCCCTCCTGCCCATCCATCCATCCTTCCTTCTTTGCTTCCTCCCCTTCCCTCTCCTCTCTTTTCTTTCTGAACCAGGAATTGAACTGATGACCTTGTGCTTACTAAGCAAGTACTTGTGCCACTGAGCTATATGCCCAGCCCCTCCAATGTTTTCTTGAACATTTCCAGCATAAGGTTGCTACTTTGGGATACAGCACCACTGTCTGAGTTCAGTTTTTATTATGTTCAAACATAATTCCCTGTGAATTTCAACCAGTTAAATGGTCAGATTATCTTAAAATCATAATACTTCTTTATATAGAAAGATATTTTGTTTTGGTCAAAGATGATTTTTGCTAGATGTAAGGGCTGGGGATATAGCTCAGTGGTGTAGCATCTGCCTGGCAAGCACAAGGTCCTGAGTTTGATTCCTGGTGGTGGGGGGGAAATTTATATTTATATATAAATATGTATAAACTATATATATTGAAAAGACCATTGTGTTGTATGACCAGTGATCTTTGTGATACCTATATAATTTATTATCTTTAAGCTTAGAGCTTTTCTATGCTACTTTTATTTAGTCTTTAAAATCTAACTTTCTGCTAATAATTGGTTTAAATTTGGTAAGACTTTATGACTGATTCTGAGTTTTCTATTGAAAGATGATCTCATAGTTGCCCAGTTCAGTTTTGAAGTATTTTGAGATGATTGGCATTAAACACTTCTAAGTTTCAGCAAAAAATGGGAAGTCATATAATGAGTTTCATGAAGGTTTTTATGTGGTGTAGTATATTTGCCCCATTAACTATAAGCTTCCTAAGCTAGCGGTTTTATTGTTATGTGTTTAGGATCCAAGGGCACCAAAGTAGTCTTCATTGCCCATTCATAAATTTGAGATCACTTGGGATCTAGTAAAAAAAGTTAATGTGGTTGTTATGTATATTTTTTATTCAGGTTTATTGGCTCAGATATTCATGTCAGTAATTTATACCTTGGGCAACAAAGTTTTATAAATTGCCCTAAGTTTACTGAATACTAACTAATTTCCCTCTCCCCCTTCTGAAAAAACAGTTACAAATATTTATGGTAAAATTCGAATACATTGTCTTCAGAATAAGCTTAAAGTGTAAGATGTAGTAGAACCAAATGAGGGCCAGCCAAATAGCTCAGCGGATTAAAGTGCCTGCAAGCAGGCACAGGGGCAGGGGGTTCAATCCCTGGGCCTGCCTTGCCAGCCCTGCCCCCAGGGCGTGCTGAGAAGGCAGTTGAGACGGGTATGGTGGCACACGCCTGTAATCCTAGCTCTTGGGAGGCTGTAAAGAGGAGGATCACTGTGAGTCCAATCTAATAGTGAGACCTTGAACACCCTGTAGACCCTTCCCTAAAATACAAAATAAAAGAAAGAAAAGAACCAAATGACAGGAAAAAATCATTTCTAAACATGAAAAGTACTTGCTACATTTAATTTCATAAACAGAATTCCCTAGAGGTGTTGGAATTGAAGCATTCTAGGAATTCCTGGACCTGAGAATGCTGTAGGGTTTACTAATAGTTTTTCCCACCCATTTCCCTTATTCTATTTTGAGACAGGAATTTAAAGTAAGAAAGGTCAGCTTTAATCCCAAGTATGATTTTTGTTTTAAAATGTCACAAAACTGAAAGTTTGAAAGAAACTAACCTTTCTGGAGACTTTTTAAAAGTTTAAAAGGTACTAATACTCCTAGAAATATACTTTTATTTATTCCATAAACATGTACTCATGTTCTTTTAATAGTTTCACTATTGCTTTAAATGGAAGAGTTTTACAGGAGACTTTGTCAAAATTCCCAGCTCTTCATGACAGAATTTCAGTGTAACTTCCACAGCTTGAGGCACTGGCCTTTAAATTTGGTGTTTCTTCTAGGAAAACCTAACATTATACATACTACTATTATTTGCATTAATGAAATTTTGCTTAATGCAATTAAAGTTTTTTATGTAGAATAAATATGCATTTATTTAGTTTTCTCAGTTTATGCAATGTGATTATGTAGGTAGCTTTTGCACAATAAGAGCTAATGAATTCTTTTTCTTTTTTAAATTTTTATTTACATATTTTTTTTTTTTTACCGGGGATTGAACTCAGGCCCTTGAGCTTGCCAGGCAAGCATTTATTCTACTGAGCCATCTCCCCAGCCCCTACATATTTATTTGATACAGAGTTTCACTACACAGTTCAAAGTGGTAGTGATTCTCCTATCTCAGCCTCCCCAGTGCTGGGATTAGAGGCTTGTTTCACCACAACCAGTATCAAGGCCTGCGCTGCATGTGGTACTGAAATCAAACGCAGGTCCTTGTGATTGCCAGGCAAGCACTTAGACACTAAGCTGTCTCCCAGGCTGGAGCTAATGAATTCTTGAGGACTGGGGATAGAGCTCCGCAACACAAGTTGCCTGCCTGGCAAGTGCAGAGTCCTGAATTCAATTCCCAGTAACCGCACCCCCCCAAAAAAAAAGAGCTAATAAAGCCTGTTGCAGAAATTTTTAAAAGAATATTCATTTCTTAAGAAAATATTTTGATGGTGGTATTATAGCCAAGTAGATCGGCTACATTTCTTGTGGTACTTATCAATAAGAAAGTATTTAGGAGGACTTTCAAATTTTTACCAGTGAAAAATGAAATTTAAGAATAAGAAAAAGAGAAGAGGGTTTTTTTTTTTTCCTTTTAGTGTTCTCTGATGTTTTGTTTTGTATTTTTTGAACAGTCTTGTCTTTTTGCAGTCCTAAAAACTAGAAAAAAATAAATACTTTTCAATTGTTTATGCTGGAATCTTTTATTAGGAAATAAAAAGCTGGGCACAGGGGCACACACCTATAATCCCAGCACTCAGAAGGCTGAGGCAGGAGGATTGTTAATGAGTTCAAGACCAGCCTGGATTACAAAGTGAGCTCAAGGCCAGTCTGAACTACAGACTCTGTCTCAAAAAGACCCCCCCCCAAAAAAAGGAATTAAGTTATAGAATTAAAACCACATTATGTTACAAGTGTTTGTTTAAATAATTATTTTCATGGATTTTTAATTTGACAAATGATCATTTGTAGTATCATTTAGGCAAATCAGTGAATTTCTGGCACCTTGAGATTTTTCTCTTTTCAAATATTGGGAAACCAATGCTGATAATAAAAACTGTCACACAGTGAGAATCTACTTTGTCCCAGGCACTGGGCTAGTTGCTTTTTAAGTTTATTACCACTTATAATTCTTGTATAAACCCTAGAAACTTAAGGATCATCACCATTGTCATCAGTGTATTACTACCACCACCGTATTCAGGACACTTAGAATGGTAGAATCTCATTAATTTTGTATCAGTGTTGTTCAGCTCTGTTGATGGACTTATGTTAACTTTGGATATAGCAGAACAATCCTTGATTCCAACTTGAGATCCAGAATTTATTGAGTCATACTGTTATTTATTATTACTTCTACTACTTTGTTATCAGTAACTCAGGGAAAAGACCCCTAAATCTAAATTGTAATGAATTTGTCAAGTCGGTTTGAGGTCTTCCTAGAGTAGGTTTTATTTTGCTTCAGCTAAAGCAGTCCAGAGGATGATAGTTCCTTTGCTTTCATT